CGTTTCGCCCCCCCCCCCCCCCCCCGGGGCAGGTGGTGGTGGTGGTGGTGGTGATTTCTTATTTGTTTCTCTCTGTATCTTTGGCCAACACACGTGCCCTATAGCAAAAACTTAAAAATAAAATTAACAAATAGAAAAAGAGTTTCCTAGTTGATTTCTGTTTCTATCCTTGTCCCATTCAGTTTATTTTCAATAGCAGACAGAGTGTTTCTCCTAAAATGAGAATCAGATTATGTCATCCTTATGATCCAAAACTTTCAATGGCTCATTTATTCAGTCTGAAAGGTGTCTGCATTTGAGATATCTATTATACAATCAAATAATGATGTTCAAAAGGCATTCGGATATATAAGTTTGAAGTTCAAGAGCAAGGTCTGGGCTACATACAGTTTGGTAGCTGTTGGCATACAGATGATATTTGAAGCCATAAGACATGATGAAGTCACCAAAGTAGCAAATGTAGATAGAGAAGAGGACTAGGAACTAAACTGTGGTACACAACAGCATAATAAAAATTTGTTGAATGAATGAACAAAGTTTGGGTAGAGACTATAATGAAGTTGGCCTGTATCTGTATCTGATGGAACAGCATTCCCAGCAGAGAGAACAGCAAATACAAAGCCATTTGTTCAGAATGTACTAAACTGGGGCCAGCAGGTAGTGTAGTGGTTAAGATGCTGTACTCCCACATGGCTGATCCAGGGACCTGTGCATGTGTTTCCAAAATCACGAGAGGAAAAGGGATTTGGGGGTGTGGCCTTCCCCCTGGAAGGGGGGTGATTTCTCACTTTCTCTCTGTCTCTCCAGCAAACGCACTTGCCCTATAGTAAAAATCTCTCAAAAAGAATGTATTCAACAAAGTATGAGGAAGTTAGTATGGCTAGAATTGAACAAATTGCAGACAGGGTGAGAGAAATTAGATGAAGCCAGAGGGATAGTTGGGGCCAAATTATGAAGGCCCTTACAGGTCAAGATAAGGACTTCAGCAGTTATCTTGACACTATGAGATGGAAAGTTTTGAGAAGGGATATGACTGATTACTAAGAAAAGTTTCGGCATATGAAAGTTAATGTCTGCTTGATTGAAAAGCACAAAGGTGGGGCCAGCAGGTGAAGTGATGTTAAGGTGCTAAACTCCTATGTGGTCGATCATGGTTCAAGTCCACACTTTCCCTCTCTCTCTCTCTGGTCAAATTAAATAATAATAATAAATTAAATGAAATAATTCTTAGAAAAAACAAAAGCAGAAATAAGAAAGAGCTAAAACAGTAACTCACCTGGCACATGGCTTTAAGAAATCCAACAGCCATTCTTTCTTCCTCTTAAGTCTTCTCTTGATATGTGGCAGTGTCTTCAGATCAGACCCCTAAGGAAGAGAATACAAGAAATTAGGCTTTACTTGCAGCATCCAGAATAACCAGTCTAGACTCTATAGGCTTCCCTTTCTTCCAGCTGCAACACTACCCCATCTCACAGAGAGAGCATAATGGAGACCTAGAAATTGGTTTGTTTATAACTTAACCGTGCCTAAGTCATTTCCTCATTTATTACTTTAATTGTTGCTATTTATATGTTTTTTAGATTTTACAAATAAAAACTAAGAGGAAGGTAATTTTTTTTTTTTTTTTTTAGATAGAGATTTTTGCTATGGGGCACATGTGCGTGCTAGAGAGGCTGAGAGAGACAGAGAAACAGAAAGTTAGAAATCACCCTTCACAAACCCCTAGAGGGGATGGTCACACTGCAATCCCTTCTCCTCCTTTCTCCTCTGGAGATCTTGGGCAGCTTGTAAATATATCCTGATTGGGTTCTGAGTCGCTGGTCCAGGACTCAAACTGCCGTTGACTACATGGGAGTCCTGCACATAACCGGTACACCATCTGCTGGTCCCATAAGGTAATTACTGGCATAGACTCACACCTAATAAATCACAGCACCAAGCTCAGATAAATGTCAGACTCCACAGTCTTTCTCTCCAATAGATGAGTGATAATGAAAGTTGGTGGCACATCAACATAACTTGGCTAGTTTTAAAAGGTACTGAGTGTGGGACCAGCAGTTAGCATAATGGCTATGTCACTGGACTCCCACGTAGTAGACCGCAGTTCGCGTCCCCGACTCGGTGGCCAAGATCCCGAGAGGAGAATGGAGGAGAAGGGATTGTGGCATGGCAATCCCCCCTGGGGGTGATTGGGGGTGATTTCTTGCTTTCAATTTCTCTCTCTCTCACTCTCTCTCTCTCTTTCTCTCAATTTCTCTCTCTCGCTCTCTCTCTCTGTCTGGCGAGTGCACGCGCCCTATAGCAAAAAATTGGCAAAAACAGTCCTCCCACATAACTCAAGTCTTAAAACGGCACACACAGTCCTCCCACATAACTCAAGTCTTAAAACTACAGTACCACCCTCTGTCTTACACATGCCACGGCTACAGGCCGTGGTTGTGGACAGTCTTACATGGACACTCTCTCCCATACCCCCAAGCCTCAAACACTAGGGTATCACAAACGGTCACTCGAGTCACAAAGAGGGCACAGGTACCAGCACATCAGGGGATAGAGAATGCCCACCCACTCCCGTTCCCACGCAGTCTCACACTCTATGGTACCAACCACAGGCTCATTCCTACCTACCCAGAAACACGGATACGGCGTGGACAGGCACATCGGGTGACAGTCTCACTGCCCGGTACCGAGACCACCGTCTCGCACCCAGAGTAACACAGACGGCGCGGTCACTCGCGTCCGGGAAACCCACGAGCCACTCCTCGGCCCACTCCCTACCTGGAGAAATGAACTGCTGGAAGATCCCTTTCCCGCCCCGAAGGCTCGGGGAATCTCCACTCGGGCTTCACCGTCTGCCCGGGAGGGCCCGGAAAGAGGCGCCTTGGCTGCCTCCGCCCCCGGAGGACACAAAGGGGCAGCCGGCCCGGTTCCCGCAGGGACCACTGGGAAACGTAGTCCGGAGCAGAAAAGGCCGCCGCGCATCAGAGGCAGCTACGCCCAGGGTTCCTAACGCTGCGGGTTTCTCGTGACGTCCTCCCACGCCGTCCTCTCCCTGGCCTCCGAAACCCGAACCCAGAGTCCCGGGCCTGGGTCGGCCACAGGGATTGGGCCGATCGTCGCACTTGGGATCGAAGTGCGCAGGCACATGTGCTTGTCCCACCTCCCCTTGCAACCGAGGCCGGGATTTAGAACCGCGGAGGGGTTTGTGCAAATATGAGCGCGTCTACTCGAAGTGGCGACTGGCGAGTTTCCAAAATTGTGTTGCGATACCGGAAAAAAGTAAGAGGCATCCCTCGGGGGATGGCTATCTTGAGGACAGGAGGGGCGTGGTTAGGACCGAGTGTCACTCTGCTTGAGTATCTAGCTGTGATTTGACATGGTAGGTGTGAATGTGCCTTTCTAGAATGGTTCTCCAAGATTCCCTCCTCCATTCATGTACAAATGCCACATTCCCAAAGGGTCCATTCTTCTCACCTCTGTATGGCACTCCTTGGCTCCCTAATCTGATTCTCTACACTCCCTTAGAACATACAGTGTTTATATTTTACATTTTAATTTCTTACTACCTCCCCTCAACAAGTTTCTCTCACCTGGTTGTGATTTTGCGGAGCCAGCACATGACCCTTTGAGTCATTGTGAGTGTGCTTCCGTGAGTGTAACTGTAAAACTGTATGTGTTGGGGTGGCCTTGCTGCATTTCTAGGACTGTGTGATTGTGTTACTGTGTATGTAATGTTTGCTATGGTAACTGAGAATGTGCTATGATAGAAAGGGGCTGATTTGTGGAAATGAAGTAGGAGTGAGTGAGACAGACTGCAAAGATTAGACTAATAGATATAGGTATGTGCATGGAATTCTGTCTTATGGCATCCAATTAGAAAGTACCTACCATGTGCCATATGACATTTGAGATAGTGGAATAGACTCAGAGAAAATAAATTTTAAGAAATAGTGAATAGAAGGATCAGCAGGTAGCTGGTGGTTAAGGCACCTCAATTCTCCTGGACTCCCATATAACTGTGTAGATTTGAGTCCTGGACCCAGGAACTTCAAACTCATGCCAGGTGCAATGTGTGAGTGCCCAAAATCCAGGAAGGAGAATGGGAGAATGGAGGGGAAGGGAATGTGGTGTGGCCATCCACCCTAGGGGGGTGGGGGGACTAATTTCTCCCTTTCTCTCTCTTCTTCTCTGTCTCTCTGATGAGCACACACACCCTGTAGCAAAAATCTCTCCAAGAAAAGAAAAAAGATTATAGTAAATAAAATATACTATCAGTGACCTGAAGAGCAATGTCAAGAGACAATATATGTGTACTTGGATAACACACAGAAATCTGCATCTACACAAAGAAATGAAGAGCACCAGAAATGGTAACTACATACATAACTTTTTTTTTTGTTATTTAAATCTTACCAAAAGATAAATTACTATTGAGCTGACTTCATGACAATGTTTAAACACAGTGTAGTGAAAGCAGGATTCAATCCTAGCCCTGGGGACTTGAAATATATGCAGGGCACATGTGTGTGCATGCCCCAAACCCCCACAGGATGGTAAAATGGAGGATAAAGGTTTGTGGCATGACCAGGCCCATTGGAGGGCACTTTCTCTTTCTTTCTCTTTCTTTCTGTCAAGTGAGGTAAGGCACTCTCTGGCAATTGAACAAAAGAGAAAAGAAGAAAAAAGACAAATTACTGGTTCTTGTTAGTTTGTTTTATGAGAAAGACAAGCATATTCAACAGGGTCTCAGACCAAAGCCCCCTCCTCCTTAGCTTTTCTAGCCGGTCAGAATCATGGGCACCTGCACACTCAGCATACGTAGGTCTACCCAGGAATAGAACACAACCTTCTACATGACTTCCAACATTGTAGAGCATTTTGCTACTGCTGTGCCACTGCAGGTGAGCCATAAATTGCTGTTTAAACAAAAAATTAAAACATGTAGTTGAGGTTTTATAATACACTATAATATAATAGAAGCAAACTGTATGGCAACAGTAGTACAAAGGCCAGAAGAAGAAAAGTAATTAAAAGTAAACTATTGTCGGGGGCTAGCAGGTGATATAGTGATTAGGTTGCTGGACTCCCACATGGCTGACCATGGTTTGAGTCCCAGACCTGGTGGCTTGAAAATCACACCAGGCATATGTGCATGCATACTCAAGATCCCAGGAGAAGAATGGAGGAGAAGGGATTGTGGTATGGTCATCCCCTGGGGGATGATTTCTCACTTTCCCTCTCACTGACTCTTTCTCTTCAGTGAGTGCATAAGCCCTATGGCAGAAGCCTCTTACAAAAAGTAAACTAGGGGCTGGCAGGTGGTATGGTGGTTAAGGGCACTGGATTCCCACATGGCTGACTGCGGTTCGAGTCCGGGACTGGTGGCTTGCTTTCTCAACTTCCCTTTCTCTCTCTCTCTGTCTGGTCAAATTAAAAAATAATAATAGCAAATGAAAGTAAATACATAAATAATTCTTTTTTTTTTTTAAAGTAAACTATTCAGGACCAGCAGATGGTATAATGTTTACATTGCTAGACTCCCATGTAGCAGACGGTGGTTCAAGTCCCGGATCCAGCCAGATTAAACTCAGGACAGGCACATGTGTGTGCTTGCCTAAAATCCTGAAAGGAGAATGAGGAGAAGGGATAGCAGTGTGGCTATCCCACCTGGGGAGTGATTTTTTGCTTCCTGTCTCTCTGACTCTCCAGCAAACGAACACACCCTAAAGCAAAAATCTCTTTAAAAAAATAAAATAAAATAATGGGACCAGCAGATGACCTAATGGTTATGTTGCTGGATTCCCATGGTTCAAGTCCTGGATCCAGTGGCTTGAAACTCACACCAGGCATTTGTGTGTGTGAGAGGAGAATGGAGGAGAAGGGATTGCAGTGTGATCATTCCCTCTGGGGGGTGATTTGTCACTTTCTGTCTCTCTGTCCCTTTCTGTCTCTCTAGCAAGCATATATGTTCATTAGTAAAAATCTCTCTCTCTCAAAAAAAGTAAACTATTGTTAAGTTTCCTATCCTGTATATGAAGTAACATATTATCACTTGAATGAAAATTGTGACAAGTGACTTGAACAAACTAGGCAAACTTGTGCACCCATGGACTTGGGTGGCTGGTAGGCAGCTATGTGGGAGTCCAGCACCTTAACCACCATGCCACTTGTTGGTTCCACAGTTAAGTTACTATTAATGGATGATAGCTTTATTAGGATAAAGCATATATTAGAAAGGGTAATGTATATATTAGAAAAGAAGGAAGGCTGGTAATGACTTTTGATTCTATCAAAAGAAGGTAGAAGAACAAAGAAAATCAATCCTGAGAAAGAGAAGGAAAAATTCATAATGATAAGAGCCTGAATCAATAGGCTAGAAAACAAAATATAATATAAAAAATTAACAGTCAAATGTAGTTCTTTGGAAAGATTAATAAAATTGATAAAACACTAGCTATATCAAGAATGAAAAGACATCAATATAGATCCAATAGAAGACATGAAAAAGGAAATTACTAGCTTTGTGACAATAGCTTTGACAAATTGGATATGTATTAGTATATGAGGTACAGAAAGTACATTTTACCAGGACCAGCTGTTAGCGTAATGGCTATGTTGCTGGACTCCCATGTAGTCGACTGCAGTTCGGAGTCCTGGACCCGATGGCTTAAACTCATGCCGGGCATGTGTGCATGCGTGTCCAAGATCCTGAGAGGAGAATCGAGGAGAAGGGATTGCGGCACAGCCATTCCCACTGGGGAGTGAGTTCTCACTTTCTGTCTTTCTGGCAAGTGCATGTGCCCTATAGCAAAAGTCTCTCCAAAAGAAAAAAAAAAAAGTACAGTTTACCAAAACCTATAAAAATCTGAAAAAGCTGATATAGAGTAAAGTAAATAAATCGACTTTTTTTTTGTAGAGGTTTTTGCCTTAGGGTGTGTATGCTCGCTAGAGAGAGAGAGACAGAGAAAGTGAGAGGGAAAGTGAGACATTACCGCCAAGGGGGATGACCATGTCACAATCCCTTCTCTATTCTCCTCCTCGGATCTTGGGCACACACACAAACATGCCTAGCATGAGTTCCAGGCCACTGGGAATGGGACCGAAACCATGGTTGGCCATGTGGGAGTTCAGCAATGTAATAGCTACACCATCTGCTGGCCTCTGTTTTTCTTTCTTTTCAAAAATTATTTATTTAATTTTAGTTACTATTATTTTTTATTTGACCAGAGAAAGAGAGGGAAAATGGAAATGCAAGTTGCCAGGTCTGGGACTTGAACTGTGGTCAACCATGTGGGCATCCAGTGCCTTAGCCACCACACTACCAGCTAATCCTAGTTTTTCTTTTTTTTAAAGTCTCAGCCACGGTGGTGCAGGCAGTAGGGGTGGTGATAATCAATGATAGAAGTCCTGTGGGAGGACTCCAGTCACTCCTGGGTCTTCCCAAACATGCCGGGCCTACAGTCTTGGCAAGCTACAGGGACTGGGGTAGGATCCCAGTGTGCAGACCATGATGAGTGTCTTTCTCACTCTTTTTCTCTCTCTCTTTCAAGGGGAAATAAATAAACTCTTAAAAAGAGACATTTGAGCACCAGCAGACAGTGTAATAATTACATTGCTGGACTCCCACATAGTCAACTGCAATTCGAATCCCAGACTTGGTGACTTAAAACTCACACTGGGTGCATGTGTATGTGTGCCCAAGATCCTGAGAGGAAAATGGAGAAGGGATTGTGGCATGGCCATCCCCTCTGGGAGGTGATTTCTTGATTTCTGTCTGTCTGTTTCTCTGTCTCTGGTAAGCACACCCATCCTATAGTAAAAATCTCTTTTAAAAAAGACATTTGGGGACCAGCAGTTGGCATAATGGCTATGTCACTGGACTCCCATGTAGTCAACCACAGTTTGAGTCCCAGACTTGGTGGCTTAAACTCACACCGGGCACATGTACATGCATGCCCAAGATCCCGAGAATGGAGAAGGGATTGAGGTGTGGCCGTCCCCCCCCAGGGGGTGATTTCTCACTTTCTGTCTTTCTGGTGAGTTCATGTTCCCCATAGCAAAACCCTGTAAAAAAAAAAAAAGACATTTACACATCCACATTTACCTCAGCATTATTCACAATAGCTGAGACATGGAACCAACCTAAGTGCCCAACTGATGACTGGACTAATAAAATGTGGCACAGGGCCAACAGGTGGGGTGGAGGTTAAGAAACTAGGCTCTCATGTCCAGCTGTATGGTTCAAGTCCTGCACTTGGCAGCTTGAAAATTAT